ATTACATCGTATCTTTTCTTTTTCTCAACGGAGAACATGATCGTGCGCGATCTCGTTACGTACGTACACCTTCGACCTCGACGCTCGCGATAAATAACGTTAATGTGAATCGAACAACGCGCAGTGCGTTTTCTCGGCACGTATGAAGACATAGACGTCCGGCGATATAACGAAGAGAATTGCGATACTCATGCAGATAGGTCCTACCGTGATGAATGGCCAGCGAACCTCCACTAGGACGCTATCAATGGCATCTTCAGCAGCTACCCTGAGACGGCTGCGACTAGTCTGATCGCAAGTCATTCTCTTCGCATCATTCTGTTCGCGACAGTTAATGTAGGCGGAGACTCTGCGGACAAAATGTACTTTGAGATATCCTTGATTCAAAATAAGAAAGACAAGAAAGAGAGAGAGAGAGAGTGATCGCAAATTTTACTCTTCAGACTCGTTAAGCCGAGACAATTGCAAGTCATAAATCTGATGGAAAAATTAGTTATTACATGAAAATAATATGCAAATTAATGTAATAACTTATGATAAAAGCCTACTTTGGGTGATATATGAATTGCGTTAGAATTATGGTAGAATTTAAATTATAATTTAATGTGTTACCGTGTAATATAAAAGCATTTAAGAAATCAGAATAGATAAATAAAAAAAGTACATAATATTAAGATATATTAAGATATACGGTGCATAAAATTATAACTAAGATTTTACCTTGAAATCTGATCCGAATTAATAAAGTTAGTTCGCTTAAAGTGATTTTTAATTTGATTATTACAGAAGTAAAAGTTTTGATTATAATATTTAATGAACTTTCTATTTCCAAAAAAGTTTATCTTTAAAAAATCCTTATATCTGAGAAATTTTAATTAAACAATGGAAGAAACCTAAGAGAGCTACGGAGCATTATTGTTACGCGCATAATAATGATTTAAAGTTTATAGCAAAGGATTGCATCTGGATACGGCAAATAATAGAACCGTGCAAATAATGTACAAATTATATGATGTAATTTTTAATCTAAATAATGATTGGATGGGTCAATAAATTCTCCTTGCTCTTTCAAATATGGTTTCCACTTCCCACATTCAAGTTATTAACAAGAAATGCTTATATATCACAGACTCTGTACCTCTAAATTTCATGATTTTATCCAATGCTTATTCTTTTAGAGCTATTATATATAGGTACTTCTCGCTCCCACATCTATAAACACATGAAAAGAACGATTTTGTTCAAGTATCTAAAAATTTAGCTAGATACAAATCTAAAAACAATTTTATTGGAACATCCAAATAATTATGTACATTGATGAGAGAAAAATATACTAAATTTCAATAAATATTTGTTTGAATAATCAGTTGAATATTTACTAAATATAAACATATATTTATAGTACGAGAACATTAATTTGATTTAATAATTATTTTTTGTTTTTTAAACATTTAAACAAATATTTATTTTCTGTAAATAAGTGTTATATTTGTACTATTCAAACAATTATTTATTAAAATTTAATTAATTTTTCTCTCAGTGTAGGAAACTTAAGTAGTAATAAGCAATGTTGCAAAAAATTTGGATATTCAAGCAATCAACTTGAGCGGCCTGCATAATTATTTTAATAATCTAACAAAATAATTTTCAGATCTGTATCTATAGTTACATTTTTAGATATTTTAGTAAAAAATTTGTTTTCCGTGCAGATTTTAATTTGAATCTATATGATGAGTCTCATTGAGATTAGTCTTTTCAGATACTACACTGAAAAAAATTTTGTTCATTTTTGGTCCAATGAATGATCGTTAATCAATGTCCGACTTAATGTAGTTAACTCATTGATACAATAAAAACTGGATTCATTTATACAACTATATATTCATTCTTGCAATGAATTCTAGTAATAGTTTTATAATCTAAATCATTATGAGAATTCATTGGACCAATTTTCATTATTTTTTCATAATTCAATGAATATTTTATTGTATTTACGTACAGTTTTGGTTCAGTGTATTTACTGATTTTGGATGATGTTTACTGACGTTGTCTGTTCGATGTATTTGTGACGCGTTTGTGTCTGTAATATTGTGTATAACTTCCGCGATCGATCCCTCAATTGACGTCGGAATCCAAATAGCGGATAGCGGCCGCAATAGGAGTCCGATGGTATACGTAGGAAATCCAACGGGGCATCGGCAGTCACGCCCCGCGGCTTTAAACTGTTGGTAGATGTGGGAGCGGTTTGTTTTAGACACGGGTCTAATGCACGAGTAACCTGTAATCATCGTTGGGGAAGAACGGGTAGGATTGGGCATATATCACGGCAAACGAAACGGATTCGGACCGTCCATCGCATAACAACGTTCCGACATTCGAGAGGAAATACTTTTCGCCTCTTGTGCCCTAATGATCCCTCTCCCCTCTTGAAGAAAACAAAAATAAGCTTCATTATGTTATATTTTAGTTTTATTTTTATTAATAAAAGATATTCATAAATAAATGCGTGTAGATTTAATGGATGTAGTGATAATTTTTTGAAATTTAATTTAGAAGAATGAAATGAGATTTATAACACAATCAAGCGAAGAGGATCATATTTGGTCAAGGCGAGTCTTGGAGCCTAATAATTTTTTGTGTGAATTTTACAATTTCCAGTTCAAGCAAACTGCACACCGATTTGTCGGTCTTGAAACAGTCCTAAAATTGAAACTGGATTACGTAATATCATAAATTAAACTGCCAACCAACTTTATATTATTGATGTTAATAAGCATTTTTAAAACACTATAAAGAATTTATTGCGAAAAAGAGCTGGGATTTGAAGCTCTAGATCTTCCTAATTTCGTGCGTTTTACCAATTTGACCACCAAGATATGCGGTAATAAATTAGATTTATTATCTTTTTAATTCCAAAATCATATTTTTCAAGCGTACATATATTAAATACATAATGCAATGTGCATATTAGAAATGAAAATTAAAATTAGTGTAATTTGGGTGAGATTGTATTTTGCATCTCTATTACGTCGAAAATTGCACCCAAGAGTGCTCCGATTATTATAGCGATTACGTCGACTTACGTTCGCCCTGAATATCGTCTTTTTATTTTACGTCTGCGCAGATTTCCGCGAAAGTGCCCGCGTTTCGGAACCAGTTAGTTCGTGCTGGAACGAGGGTAGAATTCGGCATTCGCCGGGCGAATTATACTTTCGGCTACTTTGTGGTTTTACCTGCCTACGATTTACGAAACGATCGGCTATTCATTAATGACCTGTCATTAGGCACTTCATGGGCGATTATCGGCCGTTCCTCGGAAGTCCCGTACTCGAATCTCGTAATCAGGGCCCTCGGTTCGCCAGTCCTCTTCCTGTCTGCAGAGGGGCCTTGACATTTAGGTCCAATCGCAGCTCCCGAAATCCTCTTTGCGAATCTTTTCCTCGAGTCCTTTCGTCTAGGCAATCGAGTTGCTTCTTCCGTAAAACGGTTTACGACATGACTCGTCAAACGTTTAGGATACCTTCGTGACTATGTCGAGCGTTTCTTCGAGCCAGAAATCGTCCGATCATCGCGTGGTCCTTCTTCGACTTGCACTCCTGCTCGCATCTCGAAATTTTATGACGACCACAATTCGCGGAATTATCGTTGCGCAAGATAATGATCGCTTTTTGCAAATATTTCGAAAGGATTATATTTGTTTGAACGCAAAAAGAAACTTTCTATCTTAATTATATTATTTTCTATCTTAAGTTAAATTAAGGGACTGCTGTAAAAATGGAATTAGAAAATCACGAGGAGTAAAAATACGCGTTAGATATATTACAAATTTACATATTTAGTACGAAAGGAATACATCCCAGATAAAATCTTTAATTAAATTTTCAACAGATCCTTTAATAAATAAAGTCGTTGCCATATAACGTAATTTTGTTTGTAATTGATATAATTGGCCAGAGGAGAAATCGTCAGCAAGAAAATTGATGAGGAAAGCGAGGCTCGCTTAGAGACATGCGAGATCGTGAGGTAAAGAGTTTTAGGTGATAGTTAAAAATGACGTGAAAAGGTTCCACTTGATATGTAATTAAATTGCGGGATTTGAAACTCTCGACAACAAGTGAATGAAGATCGACCCTGTTCCATGTGCGGGCATGAAATCGCCGTGCGATCCGTATTTCTTGATAACAATCGAACACGAACAGCGCTTCACGAGAGACGTTCGTGTCGGCCGCGTACGTACTAATCGTCGAAACTCTATGCCAGCTGTTTACGGAACTATTAATTTATCTTGGGAGAGAACCGCTAATTCATACTCCGCAAAGTGAATTCTGGATATCTACGTTTCAGATGCGTGGCACTCACGTTATACCCGTCTGAAGCCGATTATTCCGGGCCGTCATCAGGATCTTCGAAGAATCGAAGAGTTCTCTATAAATCGCATTTTTTAATATATCGCATAGTTTCGAAGATATTTGCTAAAAACGATAAAATCTATTTTTTTCGAAGAGGCGTTTCACCCTCTAAACTTTGAGATACGCTGATAAAAAAAATATGGATCTAATATTTTTTTATACTCTACAACATATCCAAAACCCATCAAAATCGGTGAGGGACAGTTCTGACGGTTCCTTTGTTAGTTACATACATTGCAAAGGATTTGTTTCGAATCTTCTTCGACCTTGATTATACTTTTCAACTATAATATATGCAATATAAATAAAACTATTCGCCTACTAGGAAATAGGAAGAGTTAAAAAATTGCGACTGACAGATGGAGTCACGGCCTGGAAGAATTCGTGCGCTCACGAATCGATCTCTGCGTCCCTGGCAATCGTCGAAACTCCATGCCCCAGCTGTTATCCGAAGAAACTATTAATTTATTCTCTGCCGAGTGAGTCCTAAGTACGGTGTAAACGCGCTCGGAGGTATGAGATACGCGGTGTATAAGTGCCGATCGGTCGATTCGATACACGACGAAGAAGCGCACGATGAAGGAAGAGAGGAGGCGAAAGAGAGACAGCCAGTAAACCGAAGAGGCGCGTTGTGTAGCTTGATTGCAGGGTGCCGCACGGTGTTTGCTTTATAAATCGTGCCTTGAACCACAAGAGAATAAGAAGAGAGTACGGATGCTGTGCTCGAAACGAAGTATCTTTGTGCGAAGGCTGGCGAGTAAGTTAAAAGGGATGGAAAGAGAAAGAAAGAAGAAAAGAGAGCAGGGAGGGTTGTGCGATTGATATCATTCTGAAATTGGGTTATGATTTATCGAATTTTCAGGGCCAGTACGGTGGAGAGTATCCGATTGAATATTGTGCTACGTAAGAGACTCCAGATAAAGGATATTTTATTATTACAAATCACTGGGTTGCTCACCAAGATGATGCGCCAGAGAGTCGAAACGAAACCGCGATCCCGTTGATGCTAAGGATGAAATTATTGACGATAGAAGATCAGTCTCTCATGAAAACAAGCTTCTGTGATGTTGGTTGTGTGTACTCTCTAAATCTGAATCAGTGGATAATCACTAATTACCCAGTGACATACTTGGCACTGATAATCAGATTGAAGTTCAATTAAAAAAGGAAGAATGTTCGAGCATTATATAACTAAAATACTGATATTTGCATGTTAATTTCAATTTTCCAATTCCATATTCATTGAATTTATGCACTAAAACGAGATTGATTAGATCACATAATAAAGATCAGCTAGGTTAGGGATCTCACATTTCATTCACTGATTACCAGTGGCATACTTGGCACTGATATCAGTGATTATCCACTGATTCAGATTTAAAGAGTATGTGATTCTTGAGTATTCAATCAGTAAGAGAACGGTGACGACTGCAATTTGTACAGAAAATGAGGACAACTTCGTTTTTTATTATTCTTTCAGATCATGACTTATAATATAATTTTCTTTTTACTTGATATTTCATAAATCCTCCAATCAGAGCATTTATTTACGCTAGTCTTTAATTAAAATTATTATATTTAATCAGATTATGATTATTAACTTTTACTACACATGTAATTTATGATACATATTAAGAATTAAGGGAAAAAAATACGACTAAAACGTTTGCAAATTCAATTATTTTTTCAATCAAAAATTTTTTTAGATTGCGCACAATTTTAATAATAAATTCACTTCGCTAAAAAATATATTAAGGAACGCGTGAAATGTATTATGTATAAAAAAGCGTTACAACAAAAATAAATAGACACAACAAATAGATACAAAATAGATACAAAAATAAATAGATACAACAAAAATAAATAAATAGTTATCATTTTTATATACTGATCGTTACGCACCGTTTACATTATACACATTAATTTACATATTTTGACATAAATTCTTTATCACAAATAGTTACTTTTATTTTTGTAAACTAGGATATTTGTTCTTGTTTTCTTAAAAGATCTCTCTACCATCGCTTACCTTAGCTTTTTGAAATAAGCGTTTTATCACACATATTTATTACTATAATGATAAGATATAAGATTTCTCCTCGTGTACTCGCCGTTAATTCGCACATCGAAATCAAAAGCGTACAACGAGGCTTAGGAAGTCCAAATCATAGAACAAATTTTTCTTTTTTTCGCCATTTAGTTTAATATCGACGCGGCCCTGTTTCCACTTCGAGAGAGAGATACTTAGGTAATAACCCGATAATGATGGGCTCCGTTCGAACGGATTACTTTTTACTCGCTTATCGCCGCGCGCGCGGAAAGAACCAGAACAAACACTCCAACGTGGAAGATGATGATGATGATGATAACCACGATGATGATGATGATGATCGTAACAATAATGAGTGGTTTTGCGCAACTAGCTCACTAGCGCGCGATAAGTGTGCGTATGTGCATGCGTAGGTAAACATATATTTTTCATCGACGAACAAAAATTCCGGCAATAACGCTAAGAACTTTCTCTGTCCTCTGAATATATTTTTTCGATCAAATGATCGAATCAAACGAACAAATCTTGATGAAATTTGAATATATGTAAATATAGACTATATAGAGCAACGATTATGAGGAATAACGTTGTAAATCTTATATGCCTAAATTCTCAGCAGAATCGTAAGGCTCGTAACATATTCCTGTAAGACTTGTAAGAATATTTAAGTACTTATACCTTTATACAATATTTTTACAGACAACTTCTTACTAGCCATAAAATTTATAAGAAATTGTAGATATTTACGAATATATATAATCGTACGTCTTACGATACATACGCATAAAATTAGAATACACTAGTCATAAATTCTTACAAGTTTTACGAGAACACATTACGAGTCTTACGATTCTGCTGAGAATTGACCCATTAGCAGCTTTTATTAATGATAAATCATGATAAAATAATAATTATGAAGATTTAATTTTAATATAATGTTTTGTTTCATTATAGTAAAATTTAATTATGTGTATGTAGCATAAATTAATTATGTGTATATACCACTTGCTTTACTTTAATCTAAACAAAAGAATGAAAAATCTTTTCATTCTTTTGCATAAATGATTTATTACAGAAAAAATAAGCATGTATTTATCGTATTGCTAATTGGGTTTTGCTTGACTTTATAAATGTAACATATTTATAGAATATTTTCTGTATGTACGTATTTTTTTATTTTCAACTATTTCAAGTAAGAGGCTTATCATTCACTTGCCAAAGATATTTATAACGTGAAAGTTTATAAAATTTTTTCTTCATAAAACAAATTATGTATATCGGATTTTTTTAATCGTCAGAAAACACGTGTTTTGTGCATAAACGCCAAAAATTTTTGAATTTATTTAAGCGACAGAAGAAACGTGCAATCTAAACAATCTGCGTTTACATTGCTTAACAATTGTAGCAATTTTACCTAATTTTTGTTTTTTTACGCTTGATTTAGCCAGAAGCAAGTCGCTTCCGCAGATATTGATTGAACGACCTATGTTCCAGCGTTTATTAAACACCTGTACCGTCGTTTCGGTGTGAAAGATGCCTTTTTAATCGACTATAACCACGCTGAATCCCACAAAAATCCCTGGTCTCTCGGTTGACTGCCACTGGTCTGCTTGGAGGTACCGCCCCCTTGTTTGAGAAACTAAGAGATGAGACATGCCTGCACGAGTGCCTTCTTTCCTCTCGTTTCTCTCCTCTCGCCTCCTTCGTTCAACCTCTCTTTCCGTTTCCATGTTCTCGATTCTCTTTCTCGCTTCCATGTTTTCTCTTCGCTCATCGTCTTGGAGAACGGGGTTCATCCGTTACTGCATTCCCTCTTCGTCGTCCCCTTTTCTCTCGCGCAGTACCGTCTCTTTTGCGCGCACGCAACCCCCTTGACCATCTTCCTCGTCGATGGAAGGTGTGCTTGGTTCGCGAGGTGGCCAGTAGTTAGCACTCCATTACACATGGTTACCTATCATCAGAGCACGCCAGCCACACGATTTGCTCTCCGGACCCCATGGATATTCATGGGTCGTAAGTAACGCGTTTCGTGGTCGTATCGTGCGGATGTGAGCGAGGTATATCGGCGACACGAATATCAGCTAACGATAATCGATCGCAGCAGGAGAAGCTATCAATGGCCCGCGTAGATTGCGATATATTGATGAAATAAAATGATGTTTTGTTAGACATTGAAACACAGAAAATTTATATTTTCTGAGCTGTATCTTGGCCGTAATGTTTCACCGATTTTTTAAGCGATTTTATTGAAATGTTGAGGCTTATGGAAGGCAGATTTATATTTAAATTAATATATGATTAAACAGATCTGTGTACCTATTATGTAATTGCTTAGAGAATTCATTAACCTAATTTCTTTTATATGCAATATTTACGAGATGTGTTTGTTTCGACCTCGCGGCTGGAATAATTAAGGCTCATCAAGATTTAACGCCGAGCGCATCGAGAAGATATTTGCCCAAATTGCCACATAATTGCTCCACCCGACACGTTATGGTTATAATATAAATATAGGCTATTAGATATAATGGTTCTCTGCCTAATTAAATATAATTGCACGGTATCATAGGTGGACGGGAATAAAAATATAACGAGATCTATTTGAATTATGATTAAAATTAAAAATTATACGATCATAGAAGCCAAGTCAGCCGCACGATCTTGGTGTCGACAAGTCGTGTTTTATCTCGAAAATGTAGCTAATTGCAAGTATAATTAACACTGCTGAATGATGTAACGTCTCATGCCGCACTCGACTTATGGATATTCATGAGCAATGAGTGACATGAAGAATGTTGTTCTTCCAAGTTCTATATCAAGTTCTTTAACGTAACGTCTTAAATGAAATCCAGAGAGCGATAATTATATCTGGGTATTTACATAAACGCAAAAAACTCATTCATATAACGTGTAATGTTTTTAGAAGAAAAAATCGATATCATGATAATTGTAACACGTGAAGAAACGCATTACCTAATGCATACATGACATGTAACTGATACAACTTAATAATCGACAAAACTATCATCGCGATCATAGTAGATAATACTTTAAAAATATCCTATAAACTTTGTATGTAAATCTCTGTAGTTGCCATTGAAACAATTGAATTTATGACTTACAAAAATGTGGCAAGAATAACAGAATAGTGGCGAGATTGTTCATTAAATTATAAAATCCTTACTTTTAATATAATTAAAAATGTTAGTTAGAAGAGAGGGAAATTTAATATAATTTTATATTTAAACAATATATTTGTATTATAATAAATAATACGGAGCAATATAAATATGTACACAGTAAAAAAATTTGTGTATTTGTGTTGGAAATGGTCCACTCACGTTTGTGTTAACAGTTTGTGTTAAATTTTTTAACATATTCGAGTGTTAATTTAACGTAATGTGATTATGTTATTTAAAGATTTTTTATGAAATTGATATTCAATGTTTCTTAGTGTCAAAATGACACAATTTATGAGTAAGTTTAAAACTTAAATTCTAAGACAAATGATTGAAATATGTATTAATTTAACATATCATAAATGTTAATCTTTTGGAAAAAAAAATTTGAGTGGACCGTTTGGGACATGCGAGTTAAACACATTTTTTCCAACTGTGTACAGATATTTTGGTATGTACTAGATAATACAGATGCGTGCTACGCGCATGCCATTTAACTTTTAATATTATATATTTATACAAAAAGTATACAAATATACAAGTACATAAGTATACAGATCAATTACGATAATCTAAATTTTGTGAAATGCCAAAACATTTTATGCTGACAGTTATTCTCACATTATGAAGTGAGCAAAGCGACAGAATCAATCAATTGCGAGAAAGAGCTAGGCACCAATGAATTCGACTATCGATTTAAAGCAAATTTTATTATAGGCTAAATGTATGTATGTATAATATATAATATTTTATGTACATTTATGCATATATATAGATGTGTGTACATAAACTGATGATTATAGTAATTTTATAACAATAAAAATATGTTTTACGGAATATTCAATTATTTTTCTTGGTACTGGTATAGATTTATATGCATATATAAAATATATATATATATAAATACATGTATATATAATATTTTTATTTATGTGAAATTATATTGTAATTATCAGCTCTAAGTAATCTTTATTTCGCGTGATGCATATAATGAGCTTTCATCTCGCACTTCCCGAGAATTTGCAAGCGAAGAGGATCGTTTTTCTCACGATCGGCCGATCGATCGGCTGCACTTCGGGCTTCCGCCTTCTCTTGCGCGCGTAAATCCGTGCCTCTTGAGTTTTTAAACGGGCATGCAGAAAAATCGAGTGCGAACACGGCCGATCAATTTGCCCTAAAGAGCCGTTAATTTTCGGTCGATGCACTCCCACTATCTTCGTGCCCG